TGTGCTTACAATGTGGCAAATCTGCTGGCTGAAGTCTGGTGGTATTTGTTACAGAGTTTCTGAAACTGCCGGCTGCTGGAGCCGCAGGCAGGGAATGTTGGTTTCCCCCGTCACTGAAGCAAGCAAGCCTCATGTTAGTTTCAAGCTGCCTGGCAGCCGGCCGCCATCTTGGCTGGCAGTTAATTTGCATATCGCCCTGATTAGCCAATGGGAAGGGTAGCAGTCGTACGCTAATTACCATGTTTCTCTTTTATTAGATAAGATATATGCCTAATATGCAAAGTGTCCCCTCAGGAGTTTGACCAACTGGGAGTTCGATCACTCGCTATGATGTGTGCTGACCACCAAGGGGTGGCGTGGAATGAAGGAAGACCCTGGCAGCCGCTAGGGACCCTACCCATGCACAAATTTCGTGCACTGGGCCTCTAGTCCTAAATAATAGAAATTACACTGTCCTATCAATAATTTAAAATATTTTCATATTCATGGCACTTCCAATGACAAGAAAAAAATTGGACTATCATTATGATTTTTAAAAATGTTCATACATTTAGGCATAGGATAAAATATTGTTAACCTAATTCCAGAGTATTTGTTTTAAATATGGTAGTTTCTTTCTATGCAACTAAGTCAGGAGGGTAGCTGTCTAATAGTAATTATACATATTAATCATTTTTCAGTCAAGTAGGTCTTTGTTGGCATTTTCATTTTCAATTTAAGAATGAATTACTTATTTAATTAACAGTTTCATTAGCAGACCTAAATTCTGCCCAATGCTTTGGGTACCTTTATTGTACACATATCTTATATAAAGACAACAAGATTTAGATTTAGACTTATGGGGATTCCTGGGGCCTGGCTTGGGACTTGAGTCTAAGCCAGGGGTGGGCAAACTTTTTGACTCGAGGGCCACAATGGGTTCTTAAACTGGACTGGAGGGCCGGAACAAAAGCATGGATAGAGTGTTTGTGTGAACTAATATAAATTCAAAGTAAACATCATTACATAAAAGGGTACGGTCTTTTTTTTTTTTTTTAGTTTTATTCATTTCAAGCGGGCCGTAGTTTGCCCACGGCTGGTCTAAGCTATGTGCTCCAAAACCAACCTTGCAAGAGATCTATACACAGTAGTATACTATCATTTAATACTACTATTTATACATAGACAAAACTCTCTCAGGACCCTCACTGGGAAGGTGATTGGCAGGGAAGGACTCAGGTGTTTCGGATCTTCTGGCCAAATACCACTGGATCCTTACTCTTGTTTCTAACATTCACCATGAGCGTCATATTTAGTAATATAAATCAATACTTAAGTTACTCAAAAAGAATGTAGAATGCAATCTCCTAGGACCCATCTGAAATCTAAAAACATTTTTATGTTTACAACAACCAATCAAATTGCCAATCAATTGCAAAACATTCACAATCCTCTTTAACTTCTTACCTTAGCACACTGCATGTGATTGCATCCCTCATTCTTCTGTATTGGAGATTTACAGTTAGCACAAGGCTTGGAGTTAGTTAACAACCAGAGACAGTTGGCAGCATCCTCATAAGCTTCACTAACTCCCACAACTTTAGGATATTAAGCACAAACACAAAGATAAATGATTTAATATACAACTGCAAGGGAAAACCTCCAAGTGTTCTTTGTGGGTTGCCTCTCAATTTTAAACACAGATTTATTTTCCCACTAGGCTCTATGGCAAAACTTTTAAACTGCCTCATTTTAAATAGCCTGACTATAGGGTAAGGAGCTGTGTTCCAAAAGCTCTATTTAGGAAATCTGATTTAAAAGAGATTTCTCCCTAAAGCTGTGTTTGAATAAACTGGGGAAGAAATATATCTAAAGTTAAAAGAAAGCATTATGTTATTCTCTGTATAAAATAATTATTGCATCAGAGAAAATATATAAAGAATGGTTACTTTAGACAATAATTTCTGAAATAGGCCAGTTGTCAATATAATTGCCATAATGTTTTCCTCACAGTAAAAAACATGAAAATTATATTGAAACATTAACATCACTTTACCCATGATTATTTTAGATGAGCTAAAAACAAACCCAATGTGACATGTCTAAAACTAAACTTACCATTGACCCCCAAATCGCTTCTTTCTCTATCTCCTACCCTGGTAAAAATAAGATCATCTACTCAAGTCAATCCAGGAAGAGCATGATCTTGGAAACACCCTTCTCTTTCCTTAACCCACCATGTCCCATTGATTCTACCTCTTTTTCATACCCGTTCCTCTCCATTTCCAATTTTATTGCTTTAGCGAGGGTCCTCCACACTTCCTGCCTAGACAATCAAAACACAGACAACCAACTTATCTCTCCAGCACCTTCTCCCTGCTCCCACCTCCCACAATACAGTCTACACAGTAATCTCTTATTACTATGGACTACAAAATAAAACCAAATTGCTATAACAAAGAATATAAAACCCTTTATGATTTAGCCACTGTCTACCTGGCAAACTTCTCCCACATTCTGTCCCCACACAAATCTATGTTCTTCATCATCTTAAACTCAATTTATTCTACTAAATTTGAGATCTGGAGGCCAGGGCAGGGTGGAGAGGGCCAATGGAGAAAGAAAGGGGACATCTGTAGTATTTTCAACATTAAAGATAAATTTGAAAAAAACAAACCTGCAATCTTAAAGGAATGCCATGCTTTTAAAATATTCTAAATTTGGCCGAAACTGGTTTGGCTCAGTGGATAGAGCGTCGGCTTTCGGACTGAAAGGTCCCAGGTTCGATTCCGGTCAAGGGCATGTACCTGGGTTGCGGGCACATCCCCAGTTGGAGATGTGCAGGAGGCAGCTGATTGATGTTTCTCTCTCATCGATGTTTCTAACTCTCCATCTCTCTCCCTTCCTCTCTGTAAAAAATCAATAAAATATATATTAAAAAAAATTCTAAATTTGACATTTTACATTCTATAAACTTTCCCCCCACAGTGGAGAGTTAGGTGCTAGACTAGAGGCAGTTCTAGATGCACAATTAAGAACTTTTTTTTTCCTGCAAGAAATGTCAGTAATCAAGTTTGTTCTGTTTTCTAGCTCTATGAGCTCAGAGAAGCCCTATGTTTTCTTACTGAAAGAGATGTCAGAAAATCACTTTGGAATCACTCAAAGTGGCCTGTCCAATCAAGGCTCTGATTATATGCAGACACTCTCAGAAAGGTGGGGTAAGGGATTAGTTCTAATGTTAAAAGCAGCGGAGAAATCAGATGTTTTGAATACGGATGTTTAAAAGGAAAACTTACCCAACCTCCAGATGTAAATCCCTGGAAAGGGAAGGAGGCAAAGGTTTGAGCTGACTGAGCCCTCCCTCGGAAATGGCTCTGCGTATGAACTGGAAGAGCTGGGATGAGGAGCAGCACTCTGATGGAGCTCAGCAGTGGAGGAGGGGGCCCCCTTGCCATAAGAAACCCTTGTTTGTGCCAACAATAGCACAGCATCTACTGCTGGACTATAAAGCACTGGTTTTCAATTCCACACAGCAAAAAACAAACAACAGCAACAGCAGCAATGAACTGATCACACTCCACTCCAGTTCAAAACCCATTGGTAGATGATGGCTTGATTAGGGTGCTGGAATGAACTATACTCATGGCCAATAAGATCAAACTGGAAAGGTAATGCTGTTTACAAAGAGTATAGTTATAAAACTAATTACTAAGTACAAATATCTAATTTTTGTTTACATGTAGTGGCCTTTCTCCTCCCTTCAGCATCAACACTATTTTTAGCTCAGAGATTCTCACATGTTCTTATGACCTTATTGTCCATTGTTACAATAAATAAAGCACAAAGCCATTAAAACAAAGTAGTTGTGTGGCCTGCAATATAACAGTGTTTTTTCTCCCACCCTTGGAGAGAATGCTAGTTCCTAACTGCATTTTAGTAGATTGCATGAAGTAAATCATGTTCAGAAAATGACCACTATTACAACAAAAACTTGTGCTGAAAAAAAAAAATGCCTTCACTTCCAGTTCTCTGAACACGCTTATTTCATACATCTGCCCTTTATACATACTGTTCTTCATACCTGCAATACCTTACCTCCCTTCAATCTACCTGATGAGTCGTCTTCGCTCGTACTGACTTCCATACTCTTCCCTTTACTTCAGTTATATGTCTATATATCTCGATCTTCTTTCCTTTATAATCTCGTGTGCTTAGGTCTCTTTCTAAGAAATATTAACTTCATTTAATAAAATATTTGAGAATAACAGAGTCTAAGACCTATTAGTAGGGTCAATATGTATGAAAGTGAAAACAAAGTTCTTTTTAAAGACTGAATTCTTAAAAAGACAATTTGAATTCCATTCAATAACCATTTCTTATGTACTATGAAAAAACTGATTGACAATCTTATTTACTTATATTTGTTAATCTTCACCTGAGGATATTTTTTCCATTGAATTTTAGAAAGAGGGAGGGGAGGAGGGAGAGGGGGTAGAGAGAGAGAAAGAGAGAGAGAGAAACATTAATTGGTTGCCTACTGAATGTACCCTAACTAGAGCCGGGATTGAATCCACAACCCCGGTATGTGCCCTTCACTGGGAATCGAACCTGGGAACCTTTGGTGTGTCAGCTGATACTCTAACTATGAACCACACCAGCCAGGGCTGATCTGACAATTTTATAAATAACCATTATTTCTCAGAAAATATTCCTGCTTCTTGCTTTGATTTAGACATACTAGAGCAGTGGTTCTCAATCTTCCTAATGCCGCGACCCTTTAATACAGTTCCTCATGTTGTGGTGACCCCCAATTTCATTGTTACAAATTGAACATAATTAAAGCACAGTGATTAATCACAAAACAATATGTAATTATATATGTGTTTTCCGATGGTCTTAGGCGACCCCTGTGAAAGGGTCGTTCGACCCCCAAAGGGGTCAAGGCCCACAGGTTGAGAACCGCTGTACTAGAGGCAGTTTCAGAACTTAAAAATAGTGCCTGAACCTTTATGTGGAATTAATTCTTTAAACTGATCTGTTTATTTTCTAATACTTTTTTCATGAATTAAATTTTGTTGCTCCTTTTGAGTCTCATAATTCAATGACTATGAAACACTGGGCATAAGAGAGAACCTTTCCCATGAATCTACAAGTTTGATGGAAAATGTTTATGCCAGATATGAGATCATGAGCCAAAGTAATATATAAAATCCATGGTGTATTTAATCATACTTTTCTTTTTTTAAATATAATGATCATGTTCTACTTAAGTATTATACTTGGCTTATTACTGTTTGCTTTAAGCTTCAACCTAATTTTTTGTTGTTTTTATGTTCTCCATTGATTTTAAGAGAGAGTTGAAGGTGGGAGAGAAAAGAGAGAAACATTGATGTGAGACACACGGATTGGTTGCCTCGCTGCTCCCGCCCGCCCCCCACTGGGGATGGAACCTGTAACCCAAGTATGTGCCCTTGACCAGGATTCGAACCCACAATCCTTTGGTGCTTGGGCCGATGTTTTGAACACTGAGCCACATCGGTCAGGGCTCAATTTCATAAATTTAAGTGGCCATTATAATAACCGACTAGTCAACACCTTTCGGTGGGAGAAAAGTGAGAAAACTCTTGTGTTTTTTCCAGCAGCTGGGAACATTCTCTGCAGCCTTGGCTTTGTCTCTTCTGGTAGACACTTCATAGGTATTCTCTCTCTTGCCTACTATCCAATTTTCTATAGTTTCTCCATGTCTCGGAATTAAAACCCTATTTGGAACTTTTTGAGTGTGATCTTCAGTTTTTAATTTGAGGTCTCCCTATCTCTGGCTGCCAGAAGTAAACATGTATACACCATGTATATCATTTCCTAGTTCTATTACATTTCCTTCCTCATTACCAGCATCACTTTCACGTGTAAAGGTAGTCGGTCATAGTGCCACCAATAATCTGGACTTACTGGCCTGGCCGTTCTTCCTTTCCTTCCCTAGTAAAGCTTGTTAGTGGATATGGAGTAATTGATCCAACTTTAGAATTTTAAAGGATAACTGAAAATAATCACCCATTTCAAAATATTTGTTTTACATCTCAAATCAGACACTTCTGGCTACTTTCTATTAAAGAATCAAATAATATATTGTACTAATTACTTCCTGTGATATATTAACTCTTTTGGCCACGAGTAAATACCCTCCCTCACTTTTCAACTTAGTATGACATCTTAACTCCCCTGCATACACTTCTCCTCTCTCATCGGCATTGCCTCTGTCTTGTTCAAGCCCTCGAATCCTCTTGGGCATTCTGAAGTTGTCTCAGAAACAGCTTTCTTACCTAATGTTTCAATAGTCTCTAATCCATCCTCCACACCTCTGCCCAAGTGATCTAAGTAAGCATCATCAGTTATCAGTCTCCTATTCAAAACCCCTTCTTCTCTCCTTCAGTCTACCCTTCCCTGTCATCTATCTTGATAAAAATATCTCTGATAATGCCACTTCCCTACTTTAAAAAAATGCTTTCTATGGCTTCTGTTACTAGGATAAATTTGGCAAGAACCCTAGGAATATGGCAACACCTACTTTCTCAGTGTTTCGGGATAAAGCCAGACCTTCCAGGATTGCTTATAACCCACCCAGACACCTGATTCACATTTCTGTCTGTGCAGTTTGATCCCTCAATGTGCCTTCCTTTGCACTGGCTGTACTGAATTGTCTGTAGTCTTGGACTATGCCACGCTGCTTCGCATCCCTCCTTTAGCCTATGCCTGGAATGCCCTTCCAATTCTGGTCTCTGTGAAGGGCATCTACCTGCTTTCAAGATGCAGCTGATGCATCAATTCTTTTATAAACTTTTTCTAATTCTCTCCTTGGAGATAACACAACTAATCTCCTTTTATCCCCCTCCCCATCCTCACAATGTATTGCAGGTACACTGTTCTCTCACAGCATTTATAATACTCTTTTTTTCCTTAGTTTTGTATTTGGCTGTCTCCATCTCTAAAATGTACATTTCAAAAATAAAAGTAAAATAAAATGTACATTTCAAGAGCGTAGAGGGCATCTTATTTCTGTATTCTAAGAAAGTAGCAGAAAAAAAATGTTAAATAAACAATGAAGATACCATTCAAAAGTTAACAAGTTTCTCCTAAGTTTTCTGAGCTGCAGGCAATTCTACTACATCTCTGACATATGTCCTGAAAGTACAAGTTCAAAATGTCCACAGCAAAACTCATTATTTTCCCCTGAATATAACTCCTTTATTTCAAGTTCCTAAGTTAACTAATGGTATCATGATCCACCATCTGATCCAAAGTAAAAATTCACTGCCCTACTTCTGGTCTCTCTCCTTTAGTCTACCCTTCCTAGTTGTCTATCTTGATAAAAGTATTTCTGATAATGCCACATCCCTATTTAAAATAATGTATTCTATGGCTTATTCTGTTATTAGGATAAATTCAGGCAATTTGGCAAGAATCCTCACAATCTGGAAACACCCACCTTTCAAGCCTCATCTCTTGCAATCTTCTCCCATGAACCTTAACTTTTAAGCTTCTTAGATATGTATAAAAAAATGTAGGTATGTGGACAATAGCAAGCCAACTCTAATAGAAACATAGATGTTAGAAGCAAGAAAAGAAAGCAAATCTAATCGTGTTGTGATGTTTAAAGGTGTTGTAGGTAATGGTACTAATCGATTTATAGAACTCATACACTCTTTGAAGGACAACATCATTTTCAACATGTACTTTGCTCATTAATAAGTATAAATTCACTGAGTAAATTCTTAGTCCTAATTTGCAGTTCCTCAAATTAACTCCATTATCTAAAAAGCAAAGAAAACCCCTCTAAATTAATTTTCATCTATATTAATTTCAAAGAAAATAATTGTATAAAACACTTCAGAAGATAAAAGTTGTTATAAAACATATATATTTACTTGTTAAATGCAAGAATTGCTATTAGGAAGGCTAATTAAAACCCATTCTATTTACCAGGCCTGTGCCCTGTGTCACTCAATAAAATGTGTTAATTTCCTCATTTGTAAAATGGGATTACTAATATTAATCTCACCAATTTCTGTGAGAATTGAGATAATGTATTTATAGAAGTCTCAATAAAAATCATTATTGACATGGCATTTAATAAGTCCACAGAAACACAGTAGCAAGAAATCTACTTGTCTTCTCCACTGGAAGCTCCCAGGGAAATAAGAAGCTTCCTCTCACTACAGATCATACATTTCTCCCCATAAAGTACAGAGTTAGTTAGCCTAACCCAGGATAACAGGGAAGGCGGTAGGAAGAGCCTTAACGAGACCCCTGTTTACCCTGCCTATCTTAGGTTGGAAAACGTCAGCTAGAAACATGGAACCTGCCTATGAGTCCCTCTTGCAAATTCTGTGATCTCCAAAAGGATGCTGATTAAAGGGGTGATGTTAACAGGGGAACCCTAGCATGAACAAACCTGAAAACTTCTTAAATGAAGAACTATGACCACATTATCTTTTGTATGTGATCAGAAAATATGCAGCATAGCTATCTAAAAATTCAGCTTACGTTCTTCTGGTTTCATTTCAGTTATCTTTTGTAGCCAATTTTTCCATGTTTGGCAGTCACAAGGCTCATGTGCTTCACCAAGGCACTCCCTAAAAAGGAAAACATAGAATTGGCAATTTACAAAATATTCTTCATCAACATCAGGTAAAAAAATAGGTGGAAAGTAACTCTTCCAATTTTGAAGTTGAGAAAACTGAGGCATGGAATTAGATATATTAGAATTCTTTTAGTACACATCAAAGTCAACTCTGCTGTCCTAAAAATGTAAGGGATATCTGTAATAACTGTTAATTTTAAATTGGCACGTATACTACCATTCACTAGTGCTAGAAATATTCCAGAGAACTAGGAACAGTGTTTCCATATAGTGCTTGAGAATGTATGTAGATATACAGAATCTGTATTCCTCATGGTTCATTTACAAAACAAAAATTAAGGTATAGAATAGCCTTATATATCTGCAGTACCTAAAACAAAACAAATGAAGTCAGTGAAATAAATTATTTCCATTAAGTTTAAGATTTTCACCCCCTGGAAATTAAAGAGTGTATTCAATATTTTTCCCCCTAGTAGAATCAATACCAGTATGACTAGCTCTGCTCTTAGAACAATTTCTGACAGGACCCAGAAAATAATCACAGGAGTCTGAAAATATAAATGCTACTTCTTCAAAAGTCCACAACTATTTATCACTATGCTTGATTCTCTGAAGTTGTGCTGCATTAGACAGTAGCAGCTGGTTTTCTTTTCTAGAACTTCACAGGACAGACCTGCTACTTCCTCGGGTGCTAGCCTCAGCAGTGGGATCTCTTCTGGATGCTATAACTGATTGGCACAGTTTCCACTAGTTCTCAATGCAATGCTAAGAGTGGGTATAAAAAGGAGAAGCTAGAGCAAGGGCCACAAATTAGAGAGAGCTAGAGGCTGCCACTTAATACTATTATAGATCTTTGAAAACGAAGGCATCTAAAAAACAAGGCTGAACTTTTTCAAGTCTGGTAATAACAATGCTACTGACTGATAGGTGACTGATGATCTAGATTATCAGTGTGTAGGAAGTGAGGTTCTTCTGAGAGAAGTAATGAAGATACTGGAATATTCTCAGGTACTTGAAACCTAAATTCCTGAAGAAAGTTTTAATCAAAACACCAATGATTGATGACAAGTATTCTGACAGACCTGGTACCTATTGTTGAGACTGCACCTCAAAATGTCACTAAAAACAAGTGAATGGGAAGGGGGATTTTGGCACACAGTCCACTGAAATTAATACAGTGGGTTCATTTAGGGGAAAAAGTGCCGGGTAAGAAATTATAAAGAAAAAAAATTGTTGTCTAATCTAAAATTCTTAACCCTATCCAAATATGAAGGTTAACTAATTTCAAGAGACCAAGGGATGGTTCTTTCCTTGAAAATGTGTCAACACGCACAACCATTGGCAGAAAAATAAAAAAAGGCGGAAAGTGAAAATGGCATTCAGCGTTGGTCTTGCAGCAGGCCACTGTATAAGCAGCATGCACTGGAGCAGCGGGAGTGGCGCTGCTTTTACTACATGTTGGTGCTGTTTTATGTGGTACTTGGTAGGATTTGATAGGTTATATTTTGGGTCTGGGTACATTCAAAATTTTTCCATATAAAAGAATTGTCACTGCATTTTCACTATGTCATTCCACTTATTACACTTACGAAAGGTTTCATAGGAACACTTTAGGGTAGTGGGATAAACCTGTATTTATATGGGTATGCTACTTTGTATAGAAGACATGATACTTAAACACCATCTTATGATTGATCTCTACCAAATACATAAATAGCATCCTGTTGCCGAAACCGGTTTGGCTCAGTGGATAGAGCATCGGCCTGCGGACTGAGGGGTCCCAGGTTCGATTCCGGTCAAGGGCATGTACCTGTGTTGCGGGCACATCCCCAGTAGGAGGTGTGCAGAAGGCAGCCGATCGATGTCTCTCTCTCATCGATGTTTCTAACTCTATCTCTCTCCCTTCCTCTCTGTAAAAAATCAATAAAATATATTTAAAAAAATAGCATCCTGTTTTCATTCCTGGCCTAGAAAAAATGGGGAATATTCTGTTAGCTGGAAAAACTCTGATACTTAAATAGCTGAATACTGCCAGTCTGGGAAAATCTTTTTTTCCCAGAACCAGAGCTATTAAGGTAAGGTCTGAGACTCTGATTTTGCAAGAAAGGATGAGACTCAAATATTAGGTCCACAAACAAGGACAGCCTCATTTATTTTGCCCAATGGACTTTCTCTCTCTCTCTTTTTAAATATTGTTACCTCTGTTTATTTTATGTATGTATGTATTTATTTATTTTCCATTGATTTTTTAAAATATATTTTATTGATTTTTTACAGAGAGGAAGGGAGAGGGATAGAGAGTTAGAAACATCGATCAGCTGCCTCCTGCACACCTCCTACTGGGGATGTGCCCACAACCAAGGTACATGCCCTTGACCGGAATCAAACCTGGGACCTTTCAGTCCGCAGGCTGACGCTTTATCCATTGAGCCAAACCGCTTAGGGCTCCATTGAATTTTATTTTTTTACATCTTTCTTTAAAATGTATTTTTATTGATTTCAGGGAGGAAGGGAGAGGGAGAGATAAAAATATCAATGATGAGAGTGAATCATTAATCAGCTGCCTCCTGCACGTCCCCTACTGGGGATCAGGCCCGCAACCGTGGCATGTGCCCTTGACTGGAATTGAACCCAGGACCCTTCAGTCCACAGGCAGACGCTCTATCCACTGAGCCAAACCAGCCAGGGCACCCAGTGGACTCGTAAATCAAGAGTCTCTTTGTCTGTCGATGGAGAAGGAGATGAAGCATGAAAATGTTGCTTTAATTCAATCAAGATTCATGACCCTAACAAGGGAGCATGCGGTATTAAAATCCTTATCCTGGGTATTGGAGGAAACCAGAATGAACTCTACAATTTTAGTGCCAAGATATTCACATTCCAAGTTTTCTCAAGTACTTAACAGGTCTGCATGGTGCCCTCTAGACTCACTAGAAAGTTAAGAGGACTAGAAACCTCACCAGGTGTATCACTGTGATTCAAACCTTCCTATCAGGTGTTCTAATTTGTTTCCTGGTGGTGGTGACACCATTTTTAAAGCTTCTTTGCATAGGTTCAGTAAATAAATGCTCCAAAGCTACATGATATATTAAAAACCTCACCATTTTATTACTTAGAATATTCATGCCAGTCAATTTCAGTGAATAACTTTAAAATAAGTTTGACTTGCACGGATTTAGAAGAGACAAATTCCAAGTAAGTTTCTCAGTTTCCAACGTATATATTTGTGATTAAAGGAACCAGGAGACATTCAGAGCTGACAAAATAGAAAAATGACCACTATACCAGGGTAATTTTGAATTTTTCTCCTCACAGATTAAGATTTTGGTGATCAAGAAGTATTTATGATAACAACTCTTTAAGGAGTTAACTCAGAGAAAAAAAGACTTTGTGTCAGTCCAGAGGGCAAAGTAGTAGCATGTTCTACTTAATAAAAAGAAAAACAGAGGGCAGACAGTCACTGGTTCAAGTGAGAGTCCATTCAGGTTTTGATGGAATAACTGTCAAGATGAGACAAATCTGCAGTTATACAGGCTTGGGGAGAGAGCGTTCTGGATTGAGTTATAAAGGGTACAGAATTGGTTGGTGAACAATTTATAATAGAAAAGGCTATCCTTTGTTGGGAAGGGAAATAAATGCCTACTCCTACCTTCCCTCCTAACAATGAATACATTCAGTTCTACTCAGGCAGACATCTCTTGGGAGTAACTCTCAACTGATTCTGTCACATGCTCTTCTTAAAAAGAAGAAATTATTTTTGCCATTTCTTGTGGTTTTTGTAATCATCTTTAAAGAGTATTTCTGAGCTTTTTTGGGGGGAAAAAAGAAGCAAACCTAGAATCACATGCCTTTATTTTATAAAGATCTCTCTTGCAAAGCTTCCTTTTGCATGCAGCAGATTTTTTTTTCTCTCTTTAAGACATTACAGAAGAGCAGAATTCTACTCAGAATTTATTTAAAAATTTTTTTGAAATTTCTGATTACAGGCAAAGCTCTACTATAGGAATAAGAACAGGGAGTTATAAAATTTTTGGTGGCCAAGAAGTATTTGTTCCAATAAAACTTTATTTTCAAAAACTGGTGTGGGTAACAGTTTGTAACACCTGACCTAGAGTTTATGCTATATATAGGTTGGCAGGTAAATAAATATTTTTAGCTAATGACAATGATGCTGAGGGTAAGAAACAGATCTTTCAGGATAGGAATATTTTATTACTATGCCTTTTTACTATCTAGCAAGTCTATAATTTAACGCTGGTTCTAATAAATAGATAGGTAAAGAGTAGAGTATTATATTCATCTAAAGTATATATCCTTGCATATGTGATAAATCTATAAATGAGCAAAAAAGAAAAAATACTACTTATTTTCTTGATCATTTAACTAAATAAAAGTTAATTATCATTGAATCTACTCTGAATAAAGTTAGAATACTGATGTCAGGCAAACATAGTTACATACCACCCATTATTGATTTATCATCAGTTTATACTTATTGAGTACTTATCAGGCACTGGAAATTAAACACACACAAAGTAGTTCCTAAGTAGGTGTGTGCATTAGAATCATCTAAGAGCTTTTTGGATCCCTCCTCCAAAATCTACTAAATCAAAACATGACTTGCTAGGCTTGGGATGAAAATTTGGAAAAGTTGTCAGTAATTCTGGGCATCCCTAGTTAGGAATCACTGCTAGAGATTTTTTGTTTGTTTGTTAATTCTTTCCTAGGGATATTTTTTCCACTGCTTTTCAGAGAGAGCAGAAGGGAAGAAGGGAGAGAAAGAGAGACAGAGAAAGAAAGATAAACATCAATGTGAGAGAGCACATGCCCTGACTGGGGGAGGGGAGCGAACCTGCAACCCAGGTATGTGCCCTTCACAGGGAATAAAACCCAGGACCCTTGGGTGGGTAAGCCAATGCTCTAACCACTTGGCATACTGGCCAGGGCTGGAGACTTTTATTTTAAGGAATAAAGTAAAACTCTAAACATTTTCTAATCTGTGGTCAGCAATCTGATATTAGTGCATGGGCTCTGAAACCAAATGGAGCTGGGTTCTAATCCCATTTCTACCATTTCTTAGCAGCATAATCCTGGGTAACTTCTCTGAGCTGGAGTTTCTTTATCTGTAAAATGGATACAATAACAGCACTCAACTCGTAGCAAAGACAGGAGAACTCAATATGTCAAAATATTTGGCACAGTACTGAGCACATATCAAGCACACAATAAATGTATATGCAATATACTTAATTAATAAGAATAATACCAAACAGTAGAATTTAAAAGCCTGATTGAAGGTACAAATTCTTTAAGAACTATTAGGAAGGTGCCTAGGCTAATTCCAACTTGTCTTGTACTGACCAGCAGAAGAGGTGTCCTTTTCCACAGTCCACGGCAGGAGCTCTGAGCAAGGGGAAGCTGAGTGTATCAGACCCAGATGTATTTGACCCTTGTTTTGTTAGTCTGACTGCTCTTTCACAGCCTGGAGTAGGACACCATTTAATGGCAGGATTATTTTCAACAAAGGCCTGTTTAAACAGTAATAACAAAACACAACAAAAAATATTTTAACTACATTTTAATATAGAATGTGTTCCTATGTTAATTTACTTTAAAGCAAAAAAAAAAAAAAAGCAAACTAATACAAAGTAGTCAGTCTCAAAATATAACTCAAATAATACCAGAAAGTACGAAACAACTATTTTTTTTAAGTATAACTGACACACACTATTACATTAGTTTCAGATGTACAGCACAGCGATTGGATATCTGTGATCACCACCACAATTCTAGTAACCTCTGTCATCATACAAAGTTATTACGATATTATTGACTATATTCCCTATGCTGTACACTACATCTCTCTGACTTAATTATTTTATAATTGGAAATGCGTACCTCTTAGTGCCTTTCACATGTTTCACCCATGCCCCCCAATCCTTTCCCCTCTGGTAACCATCAGTTTGTTTTCTGTAGATATGAGTTTGTAACTCTTGTTTTGCTTGCTGTTTTGTTTTGACCTCAAGATTCCACATATAAGTGAAATCATGAAACAATTTAGTAAGAAGGAAAGAAGTGGCAATTACCCAGCAATGACATGATTTCTCAAATTTACATTTTCTTTTATATAAACTTATATAAGTTTCTTTAAATAACCAAGATGATGATGATAAAATAAAAATGCAATTATTCACACAGAAAATGTGCAATTTAGAAATGTTTTCTCATACAGTATGCCACTTTTCTGATGAACTTAATTATAAACAGAATCTTACATGTGATTATTAGTTGTATTAGAATACTAAATATCTAAATGGCATCCTAATAATTCATAAAAATCAATATTGTGATGCTTTCTATCTAAAGAAATAGTAGAACTTTTAAAAAAGTCTACACATTAGGGTTTAGAACCCCCAAAATCTGCACAAGGCATTTAAGATGAACTTTTAAATCATACAAGAAAAAAAGTAATTTGCATATATTTCTGAATAACTCCTTAATATATAGAAAAAGATGTAATAAACAATATAATTCATTACATGAATTATTACTTGAAACTAAAAGACAAAGCCATGTATTTCTAAGTTGATAATTTTTATTTCTAAATATTTATATTTAGGAGTATAAAATACTAGAGGACCAGTGCACAAAATTCATGCAGGGGGTCGGGGGGAGAACGGCGGTCCCTCAGCCCAACCTGCACCCTCTCCAATTCGGGAGCCCTCAATGGATGTCCAACTGCCAGTTGGATATCCCTCTCGCAATCCGGGACCTCTGGCTCCTACCCGCTCACACACAATTTGACTTCCTTATTGGCTTCTCCCTCTCACACAATTTTTCTCTCCTTTATGTAACACTTTTTCCTACTGACTCATCATTTATAAACTTTCCTTTCCTCCTTATTTCCTACTGCTGTTCCATCTTCTTCCCATCTTTCTTCTACCCTCCCCCCCTCCCCACATTCCTTCTTTCCTTTATCTTTACCCCTGCCCTCACTTCCCTTTTACTTCCTTCCCACCTTAATTTTTTTCTTCACTTCCTTGGACCTGGCTTTGCTCCCTCCTCCATTTCTTCCTTCTTCTCATTCTCCTTTTAAGCTCTACCGGCTCCCCTTTAAAACTTTTCTTCCCCCCCTCTTGCTCTCTCATCCTACCTTTCCCATATATTCTTCTCTACTTACTTCCATTGTTAATGTCTACTATCTACTTGCATAATCACTATCGTTTATCTTTTTTCATTTTTTTGTTTTTTTTTCTTTTTTCATTTTTGACTCCTACTTTTAAAATCTGTCCCCAGTACACAACTATACTTGATTTTCATTATAGCTCCTACAGTTCACTCATTCATCCTCTTTCCTTCTTTAAATCTATTCTCTACTGACTCCTTTATAAAGTTCTTCCCTCCCTCCTTTCCTTCTTAAAGCTTTCGTTCAGGGGGGTGTTAACCCCCAGCCCAGGACTCAGTCCCGGCCAGGTGTTCGCCGCTCCCCCTTCCCCAACCTCCCCACCGTTGTCCTGCTCCCATTCCCTGCCCAGGACCCCTGGCCCAGCGAGGGAGGCCGAAGCCTGCACAGCCCGGGTGCTGCTGCTGCTGCGAAGCAAGAGCGCTTCCACCCAGAAGGTCTCGGACCATCCACCACTCCATCCCGGACCTGTGGACGCCTCCCTGCCAATGGCCCACGCTGGGGGCCACCGCCCTGGCCCTCCTGTGTTGGGCAGGGCTCCCGACCCGCCCCTCGCTGGGTGCACCTGCTCCCCCCCCTCGCTGTGGTTGCCAACCCCTCCTGTGTGCAGCCCTGAATTTCCTTCCCTTTTCCATTTCTGCATGTCTTTTTCTTGTTCCCTTTCTGTATTTCTGTTTCTCCTCTCGGCCTGTCTGCATGCAGGCCTCCCTTCTTCTCCCTCTCCTTTCTTAGCCCTGCCTATTGTATCCTATCCTACCCTACCCTGGGCCTTGAAGCTGCCTGAGCAGAGGGCGGGGACGCAGCCTGCTGATCTGGTTGTGACGTTATGGTATAACAGATAATTTGTATATTTCTCTATTATTAGTATAGATAATGTCTTTTGGAAAACTTAAAGTACTACTCTACTTTGAACATTATCTTGATCAATAAGTTATAAAAGTACAACAGGCAAATCAGTAAATAGTTCTGAGCAATAGTTTTATCTCTTTTAATAAATGACTATTTTAGCTTTTCACTTTTACTTCTTTCATGATCATCAAATAATGCTTTAGCTTAAAACTTCAATTAATGCTGCCATTCCTTTATGCAATTTTTATGATTTTTCAAAAATAAAACAAAAATATTAAATGAAATCTGTTGTATAGTTTTCATAAAATTAAAATTATGGGATTGGACTGATAATTTCCAGCATACCTTAATATCAAACTGTAGGTATCGTTTGTCCATCTCCTTAGAAACTATACTTTCTATGATATCCACAGGTACAAGTTGGAAGCAATCATATGCAGGGCAGAAAATATTATGGGCTTCACCTTCTTGAATTTTCAGATTCAAAAACCTATTAAAATGATCAATTGATAGAAAATGGGCAAAGATAAAATTTATTTACATAGTATAAGATTTTATCTTTTCGCTGAATTATCTGCTACAATATAATTAAAATAACACCAATGAACTAATTGTGGAATATCAGGTATAACACACTGATTCATATAAATCACAGTCCACACTCACTACCTGCCCAACCATTATTTATATGAATATACATACACATATATATTTATGTTTTACATATTTTTACATGTTCCTATTCCACTTCATCCTTTAAAAATTTAAAACAATTCATTTATTAACATTAAAAATTCAGAAATGAGTGGTTTAGAAAGGTCATATTCAATTCTCAATATTCTACACCTTTAAACAAAAAGGAGCACTGGTACAGAATTAAACCATGCATAACTTAAGAGATTTTGGGATGGTACTTAAATGTAGCATGCCCTTTTGAAGAAAAGGTTTTCTGCTTATATTTCATCTGGACAAATATTAAAATGGCTTTCATTTCCTATTCCAGTCACACTAGTTGAGGTAGTAGGGAAAAGGCATCCTGGAAAGTGGCAGGAATCTAGCACAAGGTGAATTAAGTGGTTAAGAACAGGATTTTGAATTAGAGAATTCCAGGCCTACCACTAACAAGTTATATAATCAGTTTTATTATCTATAACATGGAGATAATAATATACACTTCTCAGGGTTGTTATACAGGTTATAAGATATAATGTATGTAAAATATTTGCATGGTGCCTTGTACAGAATAAGAACTTATAAATTTTAGCAAAGGTTTATTGCCATTATTATTAATGTTGCCCTACAGAAAGAAAAATTTTTTGAAGTGTACGTTTAACATTTAAACCTAGAGAAAATAAATGGAAAACAGGAAATTAAATCATCATTTTCTAGTCATCACCGTCAACAATAGCTCATTATTCCACTGCCTAGAACAGTGGTTCTCAACTTCTGACCCTTTAAATACAGTTCCTCATGTTGTGACCCAACCATAAAATTATTTTCATTGCTACTTCGTAACTGTAATGTTGCTACTATTATGAATTGTAATGTAAATATCTGATATGCAGGATCGTCTTAGGCGACCCCTGTGAAAGGATCGTTCAACCACCAAAGGGGTCGCGACCCACAGGTTGAGAACCGCTGGCCTAGAGTATATTTTCCCTTTAGTTCTCTGTCTCTTAATTCCACTGCACTTAAAGTATCAAGCTTACTAATAAGACTCATCACATCTGCTCCCTTTGTTTCACCTCTTACCTTTGGCACAACAGCATACTCAAGTTTTCCCCATCCTTAAAACCTTTCTCAGCCAAATGACTCTTTTTTTAGTTCTACTTTGCTTTCCTATCAAAGTTTCTTGGCAAAACAGTTTATAATGACTTGCCATTCCTTCCTCAAGTCCATATTCAGTTGTAAGCCTGTAACACTCTAGCTTCTATCACCTTTTCATTGAGTGACCGGTCACAACATGGCCATTAAGATTACTCACTAGCTCAATCTACTCAAGACTTCTGAGTTTTTATTTGCTTTCACTTCTCTAGAGCATTAGACACTGTTAACAGTTCTTTCTTTCAGATTCTCTCTGGCTCCCAGAACTTTTAAACATTTTCTTAGCATTCTTCTTACTTTTAGCTGCTTTTTGTCCATCTCTTTCACTAGTGCATTTTACTCTCCTGTTCACTTATATTTTACTGCTCCCTAAGATTTTCACACCAAACTCTTCCCTTCCCAATTCCATACAATCTTCCTGGATTTTCTAAATACCCCTGTCAGAACCCTGACCAGTTTGGCTCAGTGGATAGAGCGTCGGCCTGCAGACTGAAGGGTCCCGGGTTCGATTCCAGTCAAGGGCATGTATCTTGGTTGCGGGCATATCCCCAGTGGGGGGTATGCAGGAGGAAGCTGATCGATGTTCCTCTCTCAACGATGTTTCTAACTCTCTATCCCTCTCCCTTCCTCGCTGTAAAATATCAGTAAAATATATTTTAAAAATAAATAAATAAATACCCCTATCATAAACTACCACCTACATGCTAATGAAATTTAAAACCCATATCTCCCTTAATTATAGATCTTGATTACACACATTTTTGTTCAAATATCCCATAGGCATTTTAATTCAGCATCTTTAAAATCTCCCCCTTTTTCAATGTTTTAAAACTACACAGGCTCTATAAAAGTCTGATATATTCCAATAGGAGGACATTCTGCAAATTAGTTACCAGTTAAAAATTATTTGTATTACTGTGTCAAGAAAAATAATTTGGCAGAAGGATGGATAAAGAATTCAGGGGAAATGCTATAGAGCAGCCATTCTCTAAGTGTGATATGTAGACCTATGAGGGTTCCTGAGGCTTCCCAGGGGGTTTATGAGGTCAAAACTATTTTCAAAATATTAAGCCTTCATTTGGTTTTTTGGTTAAAACTGCTAGTGCTTTAGCATGAATCATGGCAGTGGCCCTAAAATTATACTAGTAGACTGCGTTCTTCATTGCTCTATATTCAAAGTTAAAAAACAAACAAATGCCAGTTTCATTTAAGAATACCCTTGACGGAGTAATAAGAATTATTAATTATTGATCAAGTATTAATGAAATGGGAAGTAAGTACAATATAATGGACTTCTTCTGCACACTAAACAAAGCATGATGGTTATCTCAAGGAAAACGCACAGGCTCTTGTTCAAATACAAGCAGCCTCACTTGCTTTTATCATGGAATACCTCAAAGAGTGACTGCAAACAATGATTATTCAGACTTGGTTAAATGGTAGACTACTTTTGAAAATGAATGAAATAAACCTGGCATGTCAAGGAAAAAAGTTGGGGGTATTTATTGCCAATGACAAAATTCAAGCCTTCAGATAAAACTTAGAATTTTAAAAGATTCTTATCTGTTTGACAGCTTCCCAGTATCAGAAACTTTCCTGATGAGACTGGTAATGATATTAATTAATGTGACTTTTTACTATATTTGTGTGTAGTGAAATATGTTAACATTGGAAGATCTAAACAATCCAGTGAACCAATATTTTCCAACTGATGTTACAAAACCAGACAAGAGTAAAAGAGCTATTAAAAGTGCAACACAGACCCAGGGATTTTAATGTAAGAGTAAAAAAAGTCCATTAGTATGGTTTTAAATTTTATACTGCAATTAACCATTAAGAAAATACTATTTATTGAGTTTTGATGTGTATCAAAAGAATATCCAAATCTATCTGAATATACCTCTCTTTTCCATCTACACATGTGTGAGGACAGATTTCTTTATATACATCGACCAAAACAATAAATTATAACATACTGAATGCATAAGTAGATATGAGAATTTGCAAAAAAGCAAAACATACCACTCTTCTAATTTATTAATGGAGGTAGTTATTGTTCATAGTAAATATTATGTTAACATACAATGTGTTTATTATCAAAGTGAATAAACAAATCTTAATTTTTTTAGTGTTAATTTTTAATATAGTATATAGATGATAGATATCACCCATATAAACAGAAGCTCTTTGGACTCCTCAAGAATTTCTAAGAGTCTAAAGGGATCTTGAAACTAAAAGTCAGAAAAGTGCTAATTGCAGAGTTCCCTTTTCACATAACAGGAATCTCTTCATTTTAGTTATGAATAGGTTCCCTGGAAAGTTGGATATAATTTATCTTATACAGTCATATGTAACTTAACAAGGGGATATACAGTCTGAGAAATGCATCATTAGGTGATTTCACCCTTGTGAGAACATCATAGAGTGCACTTACACAAACCTAGACTGTATAGCCTACTACACACCTAGGTTATATGGTATATAGCCTACTGCTCCTAGGCTTCAGAATGTTACTGCACTGTATACTACAGGCAATTGCAACACAATGGTACATATTTATATATCTAAAAATAGAAAGGTGCATTAAAAATACGGTATAAAAGATGAAGTTGTGCACCTGTGTGTGCATGCATTGGGGGATATTGGGAGGGCTGTGGAGGGAGGTACCTTAGGAGAATGGACATTAGGAGGTAGGAGGGGTGAGGGGTGGAGAAGGAAGAGAAGGGGAAAGTGAGAGTGGAGATACAAAGAAACCCAGAGAGATAAAGCTTGAAATGAGAAATAACAAAAGGGAGAAGAAGAGAGGAGTAGATGGAGGAAAAGGACTGGGAGGAAAGAGAGAAAGAGAAATGGAGGGAAAGGAAATGAGTATTCTTGTGTGTGATGTGCAACTGCACACACGTGTGGACATAGCAGTAGACAGCATGCTGAACCTCCTCATCTATTTAAATCACCCAGAGCTAGCAGTAAATTTGGCATTGTAGCCGAAACCGGTTTGGCTCAGTGGATAGAGCGTCGGCCTACGGACTGAAGGGTCCCGGGTTCGATTCCGGTCAAGGGCATGTATGGGTTGCGGGCACATCCCCAGTAGATGTGCAGGAGGCAGCTGATCGATGTTTCTCTCTCATCGATGTTTCTAACTCTCTATCTCTCTCCCTTCCTCTCTGTAAAAAATCAAGAAAATATGTTAAAAAAAAAAATTTGGCATTGTAGTTGGGTCCAGCCATTCCTTTCAACATTGCAGCAAACAAACTTTTTTCTAATAATTCACTATAATTTTATGGGACCACCTTCATACATATGGTTCTTCACTGATCAAAACGTAGTTATGCGGCATGTGGCTATAGTACTCTGGTTAGAGTGCAGAGCTTACTTAGATACAGTACTATATGATGTTTTAAATTGCATGTATTCTAATGCATCAGAACCAGTTTAATTATCTCTGGGGATCATAATGACAGAAGACAGGATCATTTATCTGAGAGCCATGCTGTTAGTCCTTATCAAAATACAATTTCCCACTAAATTTATAAGCAGAACATGAAGCTGATGAAATGTTAAAGAAAGAAATCTGAGGCAAACTTTACTTATACATCAGCTTCACAGATTATATTTCTGTACTTATTACCAAACTTAGGAAAATGATAAGTAACATTTATTGAGTGGCCCTGTTCTAAGCATCTAAACTAAGAAAAGGGTAATAAATATGCTAATTAGGGCAGATGTCTTCCAGACATCCATCCAGACAAAGCCATTGTGGCTGCGAGGCCTGGGGCTTACGCCAGCCATGGACTCAGGCAGCCATGAGCTCAGGCGGCTGCGAGGCCTGCCGCTGAGGCCGGCAATGGTAGCAGCAGCAGGGTGATGGGGGCGGCACCTTCTCCTGATCAGCCCAGTCGCCTCCCACAGAGGGAGTCTAGACTGGGGCTTAAGCCTGCTCCCGTGGATATCCCCTGAGGGCTCCCAGACTATGAGGGGGTAGGCCGGGCTGAGGGACCCCCCCAAGTGCACAAATTTTCGTGCACCAGGCCTCTAGTTTTATTTATATTAAGCCATTTAACAATAAACTGACAATAATTTATGAAGTCCTTACTATTATCACCATTTTATAGATTACAAAACTAAGAACTGAGGCACAGGGAGGTTACCAGTTAACTATCAACAATAA